CTATCGTGATGATATATTTTTTTAATGAAATATTGATTTGCAGTGCAGAAAAAACATGTTCTTAAAAACTGTATTTTGAGTACAATATTTAAATTTATACAGGGGAACATCTGCGTTGAGGATGCTGAGCTTCATTTATTTATTTCACGCATTCTTGTCTTTTGTCCATTAAGTCCTTATTTCAGTGCCATATATGCACATATAAAATGGAAAAATGTAGAATTCATTTATGTAAATGGTAACATTACCATGCGAACAGGCCGGTGCTCAGGAGAGGCAAGGGCAATGGATGAGAGAAGGAGGGAGATGGAGAAACAGACAAATATTCTGTGGCAAATGGAAGCATTTAGTGCGACATTCACCTCAAAAGGTCCTGTCATCTTAATCTCAAGAACTGCCACCATTGGTGGGTAGAGTAAAAGACCTCGCCCAAGCTGGTAAACATGCTATGACTGAGTGCTTCCAGACCAAGAAGCATCACTTTTCTTGGCCTGCAATCAGAGGGTTTAACCTGGGACTTCATGATTCAGTTCTGAATCCTCTTGAAGTGTTGACCTATTTGTAAAAAACAGAAAACAAAACCCAGGAAACTTAATTAATAACCTGGAAATCTGCACCACTCGCTCATCCATCTCACAAGGTCTGGGGTCTAGCAAGCTTTATTCATCAAGATTGAGGGTGTAGGTTTTAAATAAACCTTCTAATTAGAATAATATAAAATAATAAAATAATAAAATTGCACTTATCAACACTGAAGCAGTATTTTTTTGGATAGTCTGTATTACACAGTAAGCCTTAATATTAATCAGACGACATCATTAAATATCCAAAAATGCTCCAACAGCACAAACAAAGTGCAAAGGTCCAAATACGTGACTCATCGGTTCCCGTTTCGCATCGGGGTGTGAGAGTCCGTTCTCATTCCCAGTGTGTAACATACCGACAATTTGTCACATCCCGAGGCGTCTCATAGTAAGGTATCCTTCGGCGTCCTTATGAAACGCGCCAGATTGTGGATGGAATTCAATAGAATGACGCTCCTGGCAGTAACACAAGTTTTTGTATTCCAGCCTTAACCCTAAATTTATCCCTAACCTTAACCACAAGCTTAATCATATTAGATAGTGTTTTCCAAAGTGATTCATGATGAGAAAGTAAAATAAATGTACATGTCTAGATTAATTCCAAACTGTTCTCATGTTTCCGAAGACGTAACATACTGACAATTTGTCACAAGTGTCCATCACAGCCACTGTCTGTTCTTTTCGTACTTCTGTTTTCTGATGTTTGATGTTGTTTTCACACTTTTGCCATTTCTGATAAACTTCATTGACACATTCCCTTCCCTGCTTTGATCTACTTGTCAACCAATCAGCATTGGACTGATGCACCCACATGGAGCATGCTATTGGGATTTCAGAGGACTGCATGTAAGCACGTTTACATTGGTTGAAAAATCCTATGTGTAGCCTCTCAGCTAGCATGGGTAAGTTAGCCAGTAAGCAATTAAGTATGCAGACTGACGCAGGTAAGTATACTCCAGTGGTACATTACATAGAACAAGGTTAACATTATTTCTTTAACTTGGCATGTCTATAATGAGGTACCACCAATGTTCCCTCTAAGCTGCGCGTGTGCGCAATTACGCAGGCACGGTCTCTGCGCACAGAAAATCTGCGTTGCGCACAAAAAAGAAAAAATCGAATCTGAATTGAAATTCAAATGAATACTTTAACAATTCTGTTTTGCAGTGTTAGTCTCTGACTGGCTGCTGCCGTATGGGATTAGAACGATGCCACCTTATCCGATAGTCCAGCCAATGATTCACATTCGTATATACGCAGCTAATCAACGTCGACAGGCTATGACAGCGGTGTTTTGAGATGTGAGAGATTTGAGATGTTTAGTGCAAATCTTGTGTACTTAGTGTGCAGTGTAGTCAATAGTTTTGTTGTGTGTCAGAACAATGAGGCGACAACTGAATGTTACAGGTGTTACAGGAGCGATACATCCTGTTGTCAGGCCTGCAGGTATCAGGCTGTTGTTCTCCTTCATCTCATAGTGGACAGAAAGTATTTTTTGGAGTGGCACAAATAATTTGTGTGGCAGAAAATTTGATGCAGAAGAGCTGATTGTTCTGTAAATAGTTTGAAATGTTTATTTTAAAAAACGCCTTGGCTGCATTTTTAGGTAAACAGCTGCAAAAAACTTTGTTTGCATAACTCAGTTACTTTTTTGAAGAAGTAACTATATAATTAAATTGCCCAAACTGGTCATTATATACTGTATTTTGCAGACAGAGAGTTACAGGACTCTCTCCCAGACCACAGACTCATACTCATAATACAAGTCAGAGCTTTATAAAAAAAGAAGAAGAAAGTTGTGTTTTCAAAATTGGAGTTCAAGTTATTGTTTACTTACAATAGTGTTAACATGCCACACAGGTCATGAACAATATTTTTTTAAATTTTCATTGTAAGTGGGCTAAAGCAGTTAATTAAAAGTAGTCTAACATAAATGTAAATGCTGTAATTGGATTATTTTAATAAACCAGGTAACTTGGATGGATTCGATGCTGGCGTGACCACAGTGCACACGTCTGCTGTTGCTCACAGTGGTCCAAGGGACCCCCCAGGGAGTTTGTGTGTTCGCTCAGACACATGAAAAATTAGAGGGAACATTGGTTACCACTACTACTACCATGACCTACCACTACTTTCATCCCACATATACTACTAAAACTAAGCTAACTTTGGCCATGTTAGCTTAGTTGGCCTGCTAGCTTATGAGAGGTTTAATTAAAGCTATTTTCTGCAGTGCCAATCATATAAAATAATTTTACAATCACACATTTAGAAAAACATGCTTTCAAGCACATGCTGCATTGTCTGTAAATATCTTTATGTTTACTGCATTACTTGGTTCTAAATGTCTCCCAAGTAAAAGCGTAGGTGTAAGCTAGCAAGCTGTGTGGTTGTAATGGCTTGCTGGTACACTGAATGGAAGTGATCCATTTATCATTCCACCAGTGCTTTCCCTGCTGTAAAGTCAAAATGTTTGCCAAGCAAAAAAGTCTATTGGCATTAGGTGTGCATACTGAAGTGACAGTCAATAATGGTTAACCAGCATCAAGCAACACCTGCCACTGGAAAGTGGCTCAATGAATACCAGCAACATACCACCCGAGAGCAGCAGGGAATGTGACATATGCCACTGAACCAGGAGTGGCATACCACTCCACACTTTTCAACAAGGGTGTCACTTGGTGTTTAGTCATAAAATAAAGTGCTGTATGTACTGAAACCGCGCAGCCACAGTAATTCAGATTTGACCAAAAGTGCTGCACTAACCGAGTGACGCTGCAAGCCACAGAGCCAGGCAGCTAACACGGCAAAAAAGGCATGACATCCAGAGGTTGTGGGTCCCCTTGTGATGAAATTAATAATTTCTGTGGGACTGCAATGGAAATCACTGCGCCCTATAGGTCACATTTCACTTTTCGAAGGTGGACCGGACCTGGATGCAAAGGTCAGCTGTCAGAAAGCTTTTATGTCCTCCAAAAGCAACTGGTGGCCTGTTTGAACATGACGAACTACAGTGGATTAGACCAAGACTCTCTGACTGCAAGTGCTGCTGAAAGCACCATAATAGCTCATTAAAGAGCAAGAAAACACATTCTCTCACCCTTTTTTTCATACCAATAGTTACATGTTTCCAAACGGTGCTGGCTCACATTGTTTTCCAGCAGCCTGCTCAGTATCCAGCACTGTTTTCCCATCTAAGATCTCATACTTCTCTTTGTTTAAGATAAGACATTATGGAGTGTTCAAAGAATGCTGCATATTGTAGCTAAAGCCAAATAAAGACTTGAGATTTAAAAAAAGAAAAAAGTGAATACCACTGCAATCTAGAGCAGCCTGCTTTAACAAATAAGTGGAAGCTGGATAATTCAGTTTCAGAACTGTACAGTAAGGGAGGGGTATAAATAACTGCTTCCAAATATAGCACAATATTTGAACTTCCCCTCACATTCCTGCTATGAGCTGCTATCACCATGGCCATTTTGCCTGCGTAAAGAACCCACTGCAGATTAAAGGCCACACCAGCCCCCCATGAGGTGTTTGTCACTCTCCACATCCGTGCAACTGTGCGCAGCATCTGTCTTCCTTGTCACATTAAAGTAAACTGACCGCTTCAGCAACACCCCAAAATAAAAATGAGGGTAGTGGAAAAAAAAAAAAGAAAGCTGAAGAAGTGAGAACAGAAAAGAGCCTAGACGTGGCCCCGGCTGCACTCCGTTGTTGAAGTAATTAGCCCCCTGGTTGACGTGCACTCCTCGTGGGACTCCACCGTGACATGTTCAAATGAGTATTGGCAGTGTGCGACACCAGCTGTGGGCCTCCTGCAGGGAGCCGCTGTAGCATGCACTGAGCACGACACCAGCCCTTTAGACTCCGAAGAGCATGAGCAGTGGCCTTGAGCTTGTTTTACAGCTAAAGGAAGCAACTGTAAACTGTGACTTCTGAACTTTTTATGTCAGGTGATTCAGGCGGTGATGCTCTACTGACTGTCCACCAAACACACACACACATTCAAATCTGTGTCTGTGCTACAGATGGGCTCAGCAACTCTAAAAGGGGGCTTAGACACGATGAGGGGAGGGCAGCCAGGCATTAATCAGACCCATTCTGCAGCAGAAATTGAACCACACCCGCTCTGTGTGGAATTCCCACTCTACCCACCCACAGCACCAATTTGGTAACCCCTGGTGGGAGGACACATGACTGGCAACACCAACATATCCAAGAAAGGGGGCTGCCACACCCATCCTTATCTTTTCAAGGCCTCACTTTTGCTCAGTGATCGCATTTATTAAATCATAAACGAGTCACAGCCAAATCACGCTTCATTTGAAAGGATTATATTTAACCACACACAAACTCGATCGTGTGAGTATTATTTCTAGAACACACACAAAAAAGATATTTTTAGTCGTGTTATTTAAGAACGCTGCTTTAATTGGATATTTTGCATCACCTGATGAAACAAAGGCTTCGTAGCCAAGAGCTGCTCAACAGTTCCTCCTAGTGGTTGAATAATATTATAAAAAAAACTGAGCTTGAAAGGAAACCTATTTGAATCTTTACTGCATTATTTATGCCATTTTATTGGAACATTTATAAACATAGATGAGACACATTAGTGTAAGCAGACATGATACATTTGAGATTTCAGGTCCAAAGTAGATCATAAATAGTCACAAAATTGATCTAAAAAGCGAAAGTGCACGTGATTGTTTTCGCTGGATCCGTGAAGACGGGCATGAAGAATCAGAATCAGACAGCGAAATGCTGAAGTGTAAGATAAGTACACATGAATTCAAGTGAAGTGCACGAGTGTAAGGTGTCTGTGTGTGGAGGTGCTTGGGACTGCAGGAGGTTTCAATCCTCTGGATCCTCATTAGTTTCTTACAGGCGTGCCGTTTCCTTTCACCGTTTTCTTCAGGTGGTGGTAGTTGGGCAGGATCTTCATGAGGAAGTCCAGCTGCAGAGTCTGAGGCTATGTGATTAAAAAATAAATTAAAAATCATCCCAGGTTATTACAAATGTGCCTACAAGCCAGCAGAACCTGGAGGATCGCAGACAAGCATCAGCGTGAGGCACTGACCTGTGGCTTTTCACTCTGCACACGCCTGATGCAGTTTGATCCGTAGACGACTGTGTTCTCCGGCACGACCTCGCACGTGTTGATTTGACAGCACGCGCCGACGATGCAGCCGCTGGTCAGGATCACGTTTCTCCCGAGATCAGCTGGGAATGAACATTACAAAAACACACCGTCAAAAATATGAAAACTGGGCTCACTGTAAAACCATATTTACATGTGAGTTTTAGTGGTTTTTGTAGATTTAAGTAAAGACATGTGAACAAACAATGTGTCTTTGTGACAGGCTGCTAGTAACATAGTACCTAATGATGCGTTGTTGCAATCTTTGCTAGGTTTTCCATTATGTGTTGTGACACTGTCAAATACAAAGCTCATCTCTGAGCAAAGTGATTTTCTGCTTGAATGATTTATAGGTTGGTAGTGAGTGGCTTTAAAAGACAAACGAAAATGGTTAGGTACAAGGACTGGACTGGAAATGGGTGAAAAGGCAACCAGTATCCAAAGAGAAATTTTAAAAGACCTTCAGAAAGCCTGGGAAATTATTGCTCAAGAGCACTTTAAAACATTGTAAGAAAGTCTGGATCCTTGGAAGCAAAATATCAAGAACTCAGGGCGGGGTCAAGACTCAAGTTTTTTCTAATGTTAATGCAGTACTTACCCTTGGACTCAATCACATTGTTGTCTCCAATTTTCAAAGCTTGAGAGACTGTGTCAGACTTGTCAAGGACTTCAACCAGTACATCAGGGGAATGAAACAACTGATATGTAATCAAAAGCTATTGCATACTGACTTATATTGCTGTTTTCATACGTGCTTTCCCTTATTTTCTGTCATATATATTGTTACAGTTGTGAGTAAACATGGACAAATACTAAATACTAAAGTCAGCGTATGTACAAGTAATCCCTGTGACCATTGAACTCGTTTTCTACTCTGTACAATGTCATAGCGAATGGATAGCTCTAAAATAGTCATCTCAGGCACACAGCTCTAGCTGTGACCACAGAAGCTCCACCCACCAGCCATTCAATCCTTCTGTTTGATAGGGACAGCCAATCACAAGGAAGTTGTCTTAATATGATGGTTCTTAACATTTTTCCACAATGTCCGCTTCGGAAGCCAAAAGTTTGATTTATTTTTAGGTTTTTTGTTTTGTTTTTTTACAATAAACAATAAAATAACAAAGATCCAAGATAAGTTTGAATGTGATGTGATGCAGTATGTTAAAAACTAGCCAAAAATGCATACCAAGGATCCCAGCTGAGCACAATTACAAAGAAGCGATGACACAGTGATGAATAATCAGACTTTCCCATATTTGAAATGTTTGTTATCTTAACTTCACTGTCTTCAAACATTCTCAAAACTATGTCAAAAAGAAAGTTGTTTATTTAACAGTTTGTGGGGCATAAACTGCAACTAAACATGGCACTACTTTGTCCTAAACCTCTCGGGCGTGAGAGGAAAATCCCTGCTCAGCACAGGGGTGCGACTCGGCCAGTCAGCCAACAAAAATTGCTCCCTTTGGCACTGCTGGTAACTTTTCCGTCTTTAGCCTGAGGCGATGACGCTGTGTGAGTTGTGATCATTGGTTTCCTGTAAACCTGGTGGAGTTTTTAATCAGAGATGTAATCATTTACGAATGTGCTGCTATGACTGAGTATTTTTCTACTAAATCACCGTCTTTCAAAGAATTGCCACAGTTTGACTTATTCGAGTTAAAAATTCATAAAAAATAAACAAAGAGAAATTGATTAAAACTGCTTATTGGCATGGTAACCTACATGTTTTTAAATTACCGGAAGCAAAACCGTTTTCACACGCTGTGCCAAAAAAAGAAAGAAAAAAAAACTGGCCTCCTATTTCTTAACTAACCCTTCATAAAACAGTTCATGTCACATTCAAATCATGTCCTCCAAATCAAATGAGTCTCTCACAAGGAGGCCTGCACCACATGTTTGAAAACAGCTGGGTTGAGTGGATGAATTTAGAGGCAGCACAGTTACTTTTAGAATAGTTACTAGAACAGTTACTTTTTAGAATATAATAGGAGTGTGGAGTAGATAGAAATGAGCATTAAGTAATTGCACTGTACTGTATGTATATAGTATGTGATGAGCAAGTCAAAGCCTGTTAGTGCTCTCTGGTGGACAAACTCTATATGGACAACAATATTCCCAAATGAGAAAAAGCATTTAACTTATAAAGCAACAACAACAAAATTTAAACGATAATTTAAAAAAATAATAATAATACAAAAATCAGGATTGTATATATTTATTTAATAGGCTAATAATTATAGAGGGCCACGAGTGCCAAAATGAATCAAACAAATACATCATTAAATGTGTCATTAAATCATTAAATTGGAAACAAACACAAATAATTAATTAAATGTATTATATTAATTGATATATGATTAATGATTCATGTATTTAATTAATTATTCATTTCCATTTTAATTAATTAACCACACATTTAATTAAATGATTCATTACGTATTTATTTAATTATTTTTGGCATCCGTGGGCCTACATAAATAATGGCTATTGTTACAGCAAAGGATACCACATCCAACTTCAAACACATTGTTAGTCCCGATTGTCATGGCCTTTGGCTCGACTCCCTCCGAGTCTGGCATTATATTCTCTGGATAACTATTAAGAGACATTAAAGGAATGTAAGTGTGCATGAAAATGATCACTCAGGAAAAAATAAATGTAAAAAAATAAAAATAAAAGCGAGACTGTAAAGTCACACATCACCTATGGGTTACCTGTTAATGATAAGCGCCTGCTCCTCTATTAGATTCCCCTCTCCGATGATTATAGGCCCTGCTTCTGCTATGATCCGCGCTTTTGGGTGGACCACTGTTCTAGCGCCTGTGAATGAAGAAGAACTGGATTTACATGGAGCTTAAAGCAGCAGCTGTAGATTTCTTTATTCTTTCTTTTTATTTTGAAGGTAGTAATGATATAAAAGACTCACCGATAGTCACATCTCCTCTTATTTCGCTTTCAACACACACAACGGCTCCAGCGGCGATTTTAGCACTGCAGGAAAACACGCACAGACACACACAGATATACCGAGATCATCATTCAAATAAACGAGGACTACACGACAGCGAGAATAAGCAGCACATAGATCATCGCCTGGCTGCTACAGTGTCAGCCAGTGCAATACATGGAGAATATGATTGAACATTTTAATTTCCTGACATCTGTCATTGCTTCAAAATACGCCACGCACGGTGCAGTGCAGGTTGGAAAGCAGGGGGGTCTACCTTTTCTGTGCCATTAGTTGCTTAGCGTCGGACATCTTCGTGATGAAGAATGAATTGATCCACGGTCGATTATTTATCCTTCAACTGGGGAGCTCTTGGGTTGATTGCATCTGTCTGGCTGGAACATCGTTTCCCCCCTCTGCTGGGACTCCAACGCTAAAAACGAGGTGCACGAAGTGCAGATTGCAACTTAAGCGACGCACAGTCTAAATTATCTGTGATTTCAAGCCCAGTTTAATGAGCACCAGAAGTTTGTTTGTGTTTTTACACACTCACGCTGACATAAAGATCGCCTCCTTTTTGCTGCACTGTCGGTGTGCCTCCTGCAGGGTGCAACAATCACCAACTTTTGGGAGCTGATGGAGCTGTACAGTGAGCCAGTGACATTGATGCCTTTAACTAACAGAGAGGAAACTCTGTGCTGACCTGCTTGTTCATTTAGTGTCAAATACTCTCACATTTTTGTGTCTACCGATTTCTCCCGGAGAGCGTAGGCTTTTTCAGAATAATCCAATTTCTGCTTTTGGATTGTCCGTTAAGTGGGATTTATATTTTGTAAAGTCAACCGGAGTTCACTATGAATAAACCGGAAATTGAACAATGTGTTATTTTCAGATTAAAACGATCTACTTTGCCATGTTTAAAACAAGCTCAGTTCAATTTTCTAGTCATTACAAAGTGCATCTGATGTTTGTTATGTCCCCCTATTATTATTATCATTGCTATTATTATTATTATTATTATTATTATTATTATTATTATTATGAGAACTTGACTCGTCTTGTTAGGTCTCTTCGGGCTTCTTCAGTTCAAAAAATAGATTTGCTAGGAAATGTCAGGTATTTAACCCCTTGTGGGTGTTGTGCCCTTTGGAGGTGGTCTTGAAGTCTGTGGACCCACTCTTAATTGTGTGAGTCGTCCAATGAATGTAATTAAAAAGGCTTGGGTCATCATTGTGCCCTATACTATTATGCGACCTAATGAGGTCATCTGAGGCAAAGTGTGAGTGGGGGTTGAAGGGATTTCAAGATGGCATTGTGGGTGGCTGACAGCTTTCGTCATAAGCCATGATCTCCTTTCGATGATGGTCCTTTACAGTGGACATAAATAGCCTCCTTTACCCCTTTTTCAAGACACATGTCTTCTCAGTCCAAAATGTGAACGTTGACATCCTTGAAAGACTGACCTTTATACTTTAAGTACTGGTGTATTGTTGTAAAGCAGATACTTTCAGCCAGAGGTTTCTTCCTCTTAAAAGGGAGTTTTTCCTTCCCAATGTTGCCTGTGGCTGCTGGGGTTTCTCTCTATATTTTTTAGGCTCTTTACCACACATTGAGGTGACTAAGTTGAACACACCCACATTTTAATGAATGCATCAGAGAGAAACTTGGGGTTCAGTGTCTTTTCCGAGGATACTCTGACATGCCAGGGATCAAACCACCAACCTTCCAAGATGACCTGCTCTGTCTCCTGAACTAGAACCAGGACCACCCAACAAAGGACGTAGGAGAAGGAGCTTTCAGTGGGGAGGAAAAGAGGAAGACCTCAGAGGAGGCTCATGTATGTAGTAAAGGAGGACATGCAGACGGTTAGTGTGATAGAGGAGGATGCTAGGAATGATGGGGACTGCTAAATGGAGCAACTAAAGAAGATGAAGAAGAAGGTGGTCACTTCTGTATACAGATTAATTTAAAGTAAATAAAAACTCTTGTAACAACAAACAGCATGTTGACTGCTGTGGGTTTCCCTTCTTGAGCGGCGCTGAATAAGCGACATCATTTTCCGACTTTTATTTTGAAGTTAAGCAGCGGAAGTCCAGCTGGTTACTCCGTCATACTTGTCGGCTGTTGAGTTTTGAAGGAGAGCGAAGCGTGTCAAAGCGAGCTGCGAAGGGGGAGCGCGCAAGTCGGAGTACATTAATTAGACCGCAGCTCGTTTGAACACCGGCTTCCGTACACAATACAGCTTAAACACAACTTAAGTGTACCGTTAATATATACATAAAAAAACCAGCCTTCCTGAAACAGCAGGTATATATTTTTTATGCCCCTTCATTTCTCTCTTGTTCTTTCTCTAATGAGAGTGAAGAAGTGGGTCTAGCGGCGCGGCGGGGGAGCTGAATTTCACGCGTTCGCCTCAACTTTGTGGAAATATGTGAAGTGTGATAAATGCCACTGGAAAATGGAGCAGTCGGCTACTCTGGACATAGAGACTCTGAAGGTAAGCCCGTCACAGTGGAAAAAACACCTTTTTTTAGTCTTCGTTTTAATTGGAACCGCGCACGTGCACAGGTGGCATTAACCATAGCTTAAGGCGCATGTCCAGTTTGGCAACATTAAAGGGGTTTCAGGCGTGTTCTGGCCGGCAGGAGGACACCTGTGGATGCCTGTGACATTTTTATCAACGTGGATGATGTTGTTCGTTTTAAATGCAGCAGCTCAAACTCGCGCAGAGTCCTCTCTGCAACAGGTGCGCCCTCCGGCTTCAAGTGTTCCTGTTAAAGAAGAAAAAAAACCTCCCAGCTAATTAAAGATGAATGAAAAGAGTCTGCTTCTCTCTACAGGCAGTAGTGTGATTAATAACAACTGACCAGCGCTCAGGCACTTCAAGAAGCCTGTCTGCATGGACTCCTTCACACATCTCCCCCTGCTCCTCCTCCTCCCCCTCTTCCTTTGCACTACACCTCATATTGTATGCATCCTGCTCTTCAAGAATCACTGTAATGTGACAGCCTATGAATATTCTGCTGCTATGCTTTCTCATTATTATTCCAGCCTAGCAGTGGAGGCAGTAACCTCTGGGTACAGTATGTGCATCTTGTCAGTTCTGCAGCCCCCCCCCTCCAAAGAAAAAAAAAAAGAAGCTACTCTGAAGCCCATCACCCGGTGGCTGGGTGACTCTTATCAGTCGAGAAACCCCTCCTGCCCCGCTCAGAGTCCGTCCTGCAACTTTTCCTTTCACCATTTCCTCCCCGTTTCCTGCGAAGGCTGTGCTCCGTTGAATCCTCTGAATTGACACTGTGTTATCTAATTAAAACAGAGGCTTTGTTCGGGGTGCTTTGTGACAGTATTTCTGTTGATAACGCTGCGCTCAGTCTGGCACTTCACCCTACCCCTGCCCCCAGTGCGTTCCTCTGATGAATGCAAATGATGACTACGGGGTGCTGTCCAAAATGGCCCCGTTGGCTCTCGAAGGATTTGCCGGGGATTAGCAGGGAAAGCTAGTTTACTGTGGAGAAGTGTGTGCCTGTTTACATCAGCAGTTTGTCGACTGTCTCGCACACCATCACTACCACGTTCCAACCTCCCCAGAGCTGCTGAAGAGACTTCACACCAGCTCTCGACTGTAATTAACGATGCGAGGGTCAGAAGGTATCGTCGGCCACATGATAGGTGAGCCACGGCCGGCCTGCCCATGTTGCCACAGCGTCCTTGAGTAAGGCCCAAATTGCTCCCCGAGGCAGCTGCCGTTTGTGTGCGCAAGGAAAACGCATTGTGAAAACGCTCTGTAAGAACCCATCTACCTCTCAAAGGCTCTGTATAAGTGCAGGCAATTTGCCATTTGACGGAAGTGTCTTCAAAAGCAGAGTTGTGTGCTGCAGCAGAAAGGAAACTCGCCCCCAGCCCCCCACCCAAATGGCATCTTCAAACAGCCTGTGATGTGATGCTCACTCTTGGTGCCTGTGAGTGCTCCGACTGAACAGCTGCGACCTTTTGTTGCGCTGGGCTTATTGGAGATCTTTGATCCCCGCTGGTCTCGTACTTACAGTAGAGTTACCTTGTTGCTTTGACTTTTTAAGGAAGCGCGCGCCCGTCCATCGATTTGCCTAGAAAGGGCAACCAAACCGCAGAAGATGAACCCACTGACAAACTATTGTATCTCCTGCAGAGATGAAGGAGCCGCAAAAATTGGATTTCGCGTACAAGTGGAATGACTATTGACAGCAGCACCACCCTACCCACCCCTCGCACCCAAGTGCTTGATTGTCACATCAACAAAATGTGAGAGAGTAACGTCGATGCGGCGAGCTTGGCTTTGAGGAGCGTAATTGGCTTTCCCGCTTACAGTCGTGTATTCAGGCTCAACTGTGCGACCCTTTTGATTGAACTTTCTGTCAAAATAAAAGCCCAAAGAACTGAAATAAATAGGTGCTTTAATACTGTGTGTCAGACTTGGAGCTAGATCGTGTCCATCTATTTTCCGTGCTGCTGCCTCAGCGATTGTGCAGCGCTCGCACGCGGGATGGACGCGTACGAGCTTTCCAGTCATTAGTGCGTCTCAAATGTTTTCTTACCTCCAGCTGAGGCAGCCCTGTGGGACTCCAGTGGCACCGCTGAGCGAGAGAGCGCTCGCCGATTTGCTGATTAACATTATCAAGCATTAATAACGTCTCATTTTCTTTCATTAGGGGCTTCTCAGCTGTATTTTGCTGCCTCTGCAGCATGTCGTGCATTTGATCAAAGCAGCGTGTAGAGTATCACCCTCTGTGCTAATTGCTGAAGATGAGGCACGCCAGCAGTGGGAAGAGACTGCTGGGTAATTGCTGGCTTTGGATCCAGCTTTAAGGTCTGTAGTGAAAGCAGGACCTAGTCCCACCCTCGAGGCGAAAAGTAAAGTGACAGATTCAGATCTCAGCACAAACTTAAATGGGATTGATGAAGAGGCATGTGCAAGGATAACTTTGGTTGTGCAACAAATCCACGCGGATGTTTCCAGCACACTGTTTCATCTACAGAGATAGCAGCTTTTTGGCCTTTTGTACCTCAGAGAAGCTAGTTTCTGTGTAGGTGTTTACTTCCTATGAATAGAACCTGCATGTAAAACAGGTTGTAGATGGTAAACCATCTGAGAGGATTTCAGACCCACCTGTTCACGATAATTCGTTGACATTTGTCTTGAGTGCTGTAGAACATATTTCGATGATTTCAGCACTGATAGCTCTGTTAAATTACATACAAATACAAATCGGTATCTACAGATTTTAGCCGTCAGATTAAAATCATTCTCAGACCTGCAATTGTGAACACAAACGTATGGTTGTTGTCAGTGGTGTAAAGCTTAATTGTTTATTTTCAGAAGACTCTAAAGCTTCGAGTCTCATTTTGGTTAAACTACATGAATACTCAACAATGGTCAGATTATTTTTACTTTAAAGCAGTTCTTGTGACCTGTGCGAAATTTAAAAGGTCATTATTATTATTATTATTAATAATAATAATAATAATAATAAATCCTTTATTTAAATTCGTGTGATCTCTTTTTTAAGAATGACCTCTGTGCAACATATTATAACGACACATGCTTCATCACAAATTTACACACGTACAAGAGTAGTTGTTGCGCGTGGGGGATCGATACAGCATATAGTGTTGTGACATGTTGCATGGTGATTATGTGTCGATACAGGGTGACCAAATTTAAAATATTTATTAAATAAATTAAAATCCTCTGGGAATAATACGAACTAGAGGGATCATCTCATGCACCACCATCCTGTTATAATGTTAGCTGAGCAAAATTACATTAAATTGGCTCAACCGAAAATCCGTCCAACACTGGGTACACTTAGTTTGACAAAGCTGCCTAATTCAGACAAAGCTGATGGAGGAGTTGCACCAGTAAAAATAGGAAGGCATCATCGTTCATCTACATCTAAAAACAAGAACCAGTGTCTGCCTGGTGATTGTATTGAATTTCAATTGTGACTGCTTTTGATGACAGGGTGATGGCACAGGTCGCCTGATAGGAGACAGCTTGTCTGCAGGCAGTCACAGTCTGACTTGGACTGACTGCAGTCACTCTCAGATTGTCAAAGGGTTGCAAATAACTGTTGTCTAATTTACAAACAGATTGCCATCAGTCTGAAAGAGTCTTTGTCGATGAGCACAACCTGAGGGGACTCAGCTCGTTGCCAGCTGCTTGTACTCTGGTTATATTCCTGTAGAACAGGAAGGCTGATGAGGGCAAATGTCATAGTTAATTGTGAGTTTACGTATATGTGATGTTTGGTGCTTTATCACAGTTAATTGTTGTGTTATTAGAAAAAGGCTGCATGTAATTGCCAGCTTGACCCCCAGTCAATCACAGACTGATATACGTGATAACAGGAATTGTATTTTTGATCTCATTTTTCAGTTAAAAGTGGATGTAGAAGCAGGCATATAAACTAGATGTAGAAAGAAAATACTTTGATGAATTGCCAAATGCACTTGAATGGCCATTAAGATATCTGGGTTTGCCTAAAATGTAGACTTAAATCTTCAGTAGTTTTTGCTTAAACCCAACTTATGTATCAACTGATATTAGCTATTAGCTAGCTGTATCGGTATCAGTTTCTATAACAGCTCATAAATTAAAGTTTAGAAAAGTAAAGAAGAGATTGAGGAAACACCCTTCAACAATGGTATCAGTGTTGATGTTGCCTGCTTTTTCCACTAGAGGTCACTCTGCAATTTCTCTGTTGTCAACACGTGTTTGAAACAACACAAACACAACATCCGAGCGGAGTTGGGCAAGAGTAAACGAGTAATCCACAACTTGTTGGTACAATAAAACATTAAAGTTTATAGTTTTCTCTTACTAAGGACTCATAAATAACTGCACCTAACAAATGTCAGAGATTTGCTTTGTCCGAAAGAAAAAATATATTAAAATAGATTTCTTAATCACCAAATGTCAATGAGGGGCTTAAATGCCCCGTTTCGGCTCTACTTTTACCTTCTTTCTAATTGCACAACTTGTGATATTCTGGGCCCATCATTAAAAAACTGAGAATTAGAGCAGTTCTATTTGTTATCAGTGTTTTCTTCTTAAAAGTCACTGTTGTTTCTTGCACTTTGATGCAATTGGACATCTTCATCGGTCCAGGCGTGCGTGTTTGTGAGCGTCAGCTGTGACCAGCATGCTGAAATGACAAATTGACAAAGTGCCAGCCACTATGCACTCCTCCATTAGCTCTATGAATAACCAAGCTTTAGGAGGCAAGAGTGGACCAGGGTAATATATGCATTAAAAACCCTTGCAAAGAAATCACAGGATCTGCTAGCATTGGGAACAGTGGGTTGCCATAGAAATTACAAGTGCTGAAGTTTCCCCTAGCAACAGTGGATTGAAAATAGACTAAAAGTGTCCAGCAGGGCCATGGCTGTAGGCTAAAAGATTGGTTGGAAATAGTTTTTTTTCTTGGAGTTATTAATGTTGATGGGTCCTCTTGGATACCA